CGCCTCTGGTATCGGAAGTACTGGACTGTGGTACCTGCTGTCCAAAAGGAGGTATGGTTGTCTGTTTGTTGCGTTTCGTGAAGTGTGAATGGAGGATTGAAATTTGATTTCTGGTCTCACCTTCTCTCTCTCTCTCTCTTTCTCTCTTTCTATTTCTCTCTGTCTCTCTGTCTTTCTTTCTTTCTCTCTTTCTCTCTCTCTCTCTCTCTCTCTCTCTCTCTCTCTCTCTCTCTCTCTCTCTCTTCTCTCTCTCTCTCTCTCTCTCTCTCTCTCTCTCTCTCTCTCTCTCTCTCTCTCTCGCTCGCTCGCTCGCTTGGTCTTTGCGTGTATGTGTATGTTTATGTGTGTGTGTGCGTGCGTGCGTATGGCTGTGCGTGTGATATCCTCCGCGACCCAACCTCCACCATGACCCAGCATCCTTTCTCCTGCCGTCGGCCAGATCGCGGCGCTGTTCCCACGCCTCCCTCCTCTCCTCGACCTCGAACGAAACCAGAGCCTCGCCCTCGTGAACTCCCACTTCAGCTTGGGTTCCTCGCTTCCACTTCTCCCCTCGCAGGTGGAAGTGGGGGGCATCCACTGCAGACCCGGGCAGCCCCTTGATGAGGTGAGTTGCAGGTTGAAGTTTTTTCTTTCGTTTTGTGTGGAAGGACTGGGTGTGTGATTTGCTTTCAGAGAGTAGATGGATTTTTTTTTTATTTTTGTCTTTTTCGGTTGGATTACATTGATATCAACGGCTTGTAACCGTAGCTGATAATATATTAATAATAATAATAATAATAATAAAATGTCACGAAGGGTACTACTTCTACCATTTTTCTTTCTTTCTTTCGTTCTTTATTTCCCTTTGCCTTTCTTTTCTATATGCGTTTTAATAGTTTTATTTTATACCAAATAGACTCAAAGTCATATATATATATATTATATATATATATATATATATATATATATATATATATATATATATATATATATATATATATATTTTATCTCCCCGCCAAATCATTCTCTCTCTCTCTCTCCTCTCTCTCTCTCTCTCTCTCTCTCTCTCTCTCTCTCTCTCTCTCTCTCTCTCTCTCTCTCTCTCTCTCTCTCTCTCTCTCTCTCTCTCTCTCTCCCTCTCTCAATTCTCTCTCTCTCTCTCTCTCTCTCCTCCTCTCTCTCTCTCTCCCTCTCTCTCTCTCCCTCTCCAATAAATCTCCTCTCTCTCTCCTCTCTCTCTCTCTCTCTCCTCCCTCCCTCTTCCCTATCCATAATCTCTCTCTCTCTCTTCTCTCTCTCTCCTCTCTCTCTCTTCTCTCTCTCCTCTCTCTCCCCTCTCCCTCTCTCTCCCTCCATTCCTCTCTCTCTCTTCTCTCTCTCTCTCTCTCTCTCCTCTCTCCAAATCTCTCTCTCTACTCTCTCTCTCTCTCTCTCTCTCCTCCTCTCTGGATCTCTCTCTCTCTCTCTAAGGACTCGTGGATCTCTGGCGCTGGAGAAGCCGGCGTGATCTACCTCAGTCTGGGCTCCGTCGGGCGAGCGACTTCCCTGCCCTCCAAGTACCGCCAAGTATTAACTCGGGCGCTTGGGAAGTTGGAGCAGCGGGTCGTCTGGAAGTACAAGGGCGAGGTGGAGGAGGACCTGCCGGACAATGTGCTGGTCAGGGAGTGGGTTCCACAGCAAGATATACTGGGTGAGGGAGGCGGTGGGTGAGGCGGGGTGTGTTGGCGCCATGATGGGTGTTGGTGATAAGGATAGGGATGATGATGATGATGATGATGATGATAATGACAACGATGATGATAATAATAATGATAACCATCATCATCATAATCGTAATAATAATGATGATAATGACAATAATAATGATAATAATAATGTTAATGATGATGATGATATATTATCATTGATTATTATGATACTGATAATGATGATAAGGATAAAGATACTGATAATGATAATTATAATTAATAATATCGTTGATAATGATGATAATATCTATAGTAATAATAATTAAGTAATAATAACAATGATAATAGTAATAATATTGATAATGAAAATTATTATAATGATAATGACGATGACGATGGTGATGATAATAATAATAATGACAATAAAGAAAAAATATGATAGCAATGACGATTATAATAACAGCAATGATAATAATAATACAAAATTGATAATAATAGCAATAATAATAAACAGAAAACTAAGGGATATATTCTAAACGTTAACTCAGACATCGAAAATACGGTTTACAAGCGAATCCGAAACAAATCCACTTAAAAAATAACAATAATAACAAAATATCCACACGCATTCCAGCTCACCCACGTGTCAGAGCCTTCGCCAACCTCGGCGACTTCCTCAGTCTTCAGGAAGCCGTCTGTCTGTCACTCTAAAGCCCGTCCTCGCCCTTCCTATTTCGACCCAGCAGACGAAGGGCGCGGCCGTCGTCAGGAACACCGGCCTGGGACTGTCCCTGGCGTGGGAGGAACTCACCGAAGACCTTCTGGTGAGGACGCTGAGAGAGGTGGTCGAGAACCCGAGGTAAAGATCGAGATGTTGATAGATGGGTATAGTGGTGTGTGCGTGTGTGTGTGTGTGTGTGTTGTGTTGTGTTGTGTGTGTGTGTTGTGTGTGTGTGTGTGTGTGTGTGTGTGTGTTGTGTGTGTGTGTGTGTGTGTGTTGTGTGTTTTCTGTGTGTTTTGTAGGCCGAGGTTTTCCAAAGACAGAATTAATCATCATATTTCTCCCGGACAGATACAGGAGTCGGTCTCGTGTATTTCTCTCTCTCTCTCTCTCTCTCTCTCTCTCTCTCTCTCTCTCTCTCTCTCTTCTCTCTCTCTCTTCTCTCTCTCTCTCTCTCTCTCTCTCTCTATTTTGTAGGCCTATGTGTTCCCAAAGTCAAAATCTCTAACCAGGAAATGGCTTCCAATGTCATTTTCTCAATATATTTTGTAGGCTTATGTGTTCTTAAACCCGAATCCCTAACCACATATCCCCGCGGCCCCGTATGTCTTTTTCTCCCGTATATTTTATAGGCTTATGTTTCTCAAAGTCAAACGGACAGCCAGTTTGTTAGAATTGTGGGAGGCCCGACCTAAAGAATATTCTTATATAAGAGGCATGCATATACACAAAAATAAATGCATATGTCTATCTGTCTGATGGATATACATTTATCTATCTATTTATCCGGTAGATATGCACGTCTAGACTGATAGACATGTCTTTATTTCTGTATATGCACGTCTCTATAATGAATATGCTTTGGGTCGAGCCTCGCAAACCGGCCAAAACTCTAACCGGATTCTCCGCCGCAGATACCAGAAAACGGCTTCTGAAACAGCCTCGGCACTGCACGACCGACTCCACACGCCCCTGGACCTCGCCGTGTTCTGGACCGAGTACGTGGTCCGGCAGGAGGGCGCCCCCAGGCTCAGGAGTCCCGCAGCCGCCCTCTCGTGGGTGGAATTCCTCATGCTCGATGTCCTGGCCGCCCTACACCTGGCCCTCGTCCTCGCCTTCGTGGTGTTGAAGCGACTGGCACGGTTCATTTCTCGCCTGCTGTGTGGAAGTGAGAAGCTGAAAACGGAATAGACTTGCTTCGTCCCATGATGCGGTTAATAAGGAGGAGGCTTTTATATACTTTGATAAACCAGATACGTCGATATATTCCTCTTAATGCCCGATAACCGAAAGATTGGGAGTGGGAGATTACAATAAGATAGAAAGATACAACCCAAGATAAAGAGTGATAGACAAGATTCATCTGTAATCGTTATTATCTATAAATTCATAAGTACTATTCAATCTATGCTTCTATATCTGCAAACACACAGTTTCAGCTAGAAAATGCCAAATTTAGTCAACAAAAATGATGATGAAGATAGGGATAATGATAATGGTAATAATAATAATATCAATGATAGTAATAACATAACAATAACGATGTTAATGATATGATAGTAATAAAACAATAATGATAATAGTGATAATAATGATAATGATGATTTTTCTTTGATAGTTACAGACTAATGAGGATGATAATGATGGTAATAATAATAATGATAACAATAAAATTAGGGAACATAATAATGATCATGGTAATAATAATGATTATGATAAAAACTATAATGAGGATAAAAATTATAATGACTAACAGTAACAATAATGGTAACAGCAATAATAATGACAAGATAAAGATAAAGATATAATGATGCTTAAAGTAATGATAATTATTATCATAATAAGAATGTAGGTAATGACGATGATAATAAAAAATGAGGATAATAATAATAATAACATTGGTAATGATAGTGACAGTAATAATAGTAATTGTTATTACTATTATTACAATTCAGCTAAAATACTACTACTATGATTACGATTATTATCTTTGTTATAGTATCGATAACGATTATTAACATGATTGTATATATATCATTATCATATTATTATCATTCATGATGATGATGACAATAGTAACGTTGATAGTAGCAATTATGTTAATTATAATAGCAATAACAATGTCAAGAACAGTAATTAATATTAACAATAACAATAACGAAGATAATGATGATAATAATAATAATAAAAATACTGTAGCTATTGTAGAAACCCTTTTGTATTGTACAGTTTTGGTTCATTTTGTACCATATGTGTCGTTGCGTGTAATGCAGCCTTGTACTGGTATATCGTCCTTGATACCATTATATATATCAACCGAGCTGATGCCTAATTTCCTAAATCAACGACTTTATCACAGGCTTTGATAGTGATTTTGTATCATTAGCCGTAACTAGAGTAATCTGATCATGTCTTGGTGATGGTTGGGGTCCAGAACAGCTGTTTGAGTAATGACGTAAATTGCTTGTGAAACCATGAATGGATATTGTAACCCACGTACGACTGTGTAGTTTTGTAAGCAGATAATTGTCTTATCAGTAGGTAAAGAAATCTAATTTTTTTTCTACCTCTTTCTCTATTTCTCATTCTCTCTCTCTCTCTCTTCTTCTCGTCTCTTCTCTCTTCTCTCTCCTCTCTCTCTCTCTCTCTCTCTCTCTCTCTCTCTCTCTTTTCTCTCTCTCTCTCTTTCTCTCTCTCTCTCTCTCTTCTCTCTCTCTCCTCTCTCTCTCTCTCTCTCTTCTCTCTCTCTCTCCTCTTTTTCTCTGTGAGAGAGAGAGAGAGAGAGCGAGAGAGAGAAGATTGTAAAGAGTAGAGAGAATTGTATAGAGAGAGAGAGAGAGAGGAGAGAAGGGAGGCAAGAGAGAGCACAGATAGACAGAGAGAGGAATGAGAGAAGATGAGAAGAGAGAAAGAGAGAGAGAAGAGAAGAGGATAGAGGAGCAGGGAGAGGGGGGGGTGAGGAGAGGAGCGGGGTGGGAGGGGTAGAGAGAGCAAGAGAAGAGAGAAGAGGGAAGGAGAGAAAAAGAACAATCATACGAAAAGGTGAAGAGGAGAGAGAGAGATAAAGAGAACACATAACTTTGTATCACGTTATCTATCGCATGATTAAAGCAACATCTATAAAGGAAAAGAATAATCCACACAAGTCACACATTAAATTAACCTGTCAGTTACGCAGACATACCATGACATTTACAGTACACGCTCCTCATAAAGATAACAGAATTTCCCGCCGAGCCTAAACACTTTTCTTTATTTTTCCCCAATTATTCCCAGGTGTTCAGGGCATTTGAACATCAAATAAATAAAAATAAAAATGATATATATATAAGCATCCATATAAATATATCAAAGATAAAGCAGTTGCTATTGTGCAAGAATACGTATGTTGCCCGTTGTCCTCAGTCGCTTCCAGACCGTCATTTGTTTCGAGTGAAACCTCTGCGCGCAAACAGTTTGTTCGATTTTCTTTATTTTTTCAAAGTATTTTCTTAACGGATAATGGTGTCGAAGCACTTTTATGTAGAGATAAGCATTGATTTCATTGCCGTTGTTATTGGCATTGCAGTTTGTTGTTAACATAATTTTCACTTCTATTCTAATATATATTATCAATTTTTGTTTTATTGTTATTATTATTATCAATATCACTATTATTATACTATTGTTATTATTATTATTACCTTTATTATATATATCATTATTATTATATTCTATAGTTATTATTGCTATTACTACTACTATTACCTGCATTATTCTTCCTGTTATTGTTATCGTCATGACGACAGCTTAATGAAGGTGATGACGACGATGACGATGCGGCTGGCAGATTCAGAAGCACCGCCAGGACCCTGTCCGACTGATCACTTCATGAAGAATTTTAGGCCTTGTCAATCTCAGCCTGTGTCACGACCTACAGAATCACAAGGCTTTGCTAAAGCCTCATGCAAGACCAGAAGTAGATAATCCCGACCAACACATTTTTCATAAATCACGTTTTCGGAAGTTAACACCCTCTCCGTGGCAGTAGCCTCTAAGTTTGAATCGGTGCCGGGGACATGTGGCGAATGCTCTTCATTGCACGACAATGCTCTTTAGAAAGGCCTGTGAACAACAAACAGAATCAAGGTCAGGGCGTGCAATATAGAAACACAGAGGTAGTCAGCAAAAAAGAAACACGAGGTGGCAGAGCAAAGCCATTTTAGATTCGCAGCCGCAGTTAGCGTGAGTCATTTTGCCGAACAGGTTTTTAACGGAAATACTTTTCTAATGCATATCCACAGGGAATCCTTAGCGAAAACTTCATGGTTGTGATCTACATGTCAGAAGCATTTGTGCTTTATAGGCAAATGAGATGAATCACATAAACGACTGGAATTTGAAAATAAAGAAGAGAAACACACACACACACACACACACACACACACACACCTGAGGTAGCCGCAATAAGAAGAGCAGACCCAAGGTTTCATAAATTTCTTAATGAAGATGAATAAATCTTTCCTGTAATAAGTTAAACCCTAACTATTTTAGCATATTTTTACTCATCAAATGTATAATTAAAATAGAATTGATTGACCTTGTCGTGATGAGTGTTGGAAAGGGTTCAAAAGGGAGCGCTTCCTCTGACAGCGCTCGATCCAAAGGCGGGAGTCAGTGGAGGCGCGTCAACACGGGTCGTGGGATTGGAAGCTATTCATTCGCATTAAATGAAGTCATTGCTAACAGCCTAAATAAACATGGATATTCAAGATATTCAAGTTAGAAAATCATGGTGGTTGTTCTGTTCATACAATGCATTCGCTTAGAAAGTTGAAAGAAACTTGTCTTCCTAAAATTTATAACGCGCTAATGAAAACAAAAAACCTTTTTGTTTTCATTAATAAGGGATTATTTGATGCAATTAGAGACAGGGACTAATATTTATTATTTCTCTTTGTTATTTGCGAACATAAATGCTGTATTAGTGAAAAAAAATGAGATGAATTTGGTAAAGCTGTTTTTATTAAATTTTAATTGTTTAAAGAATACTATAATGTGTAGATGTTTATGATTTAACTCATCAGCAAAACAAAAAAAAGTCTTTAGCACAATTACTTTCGTAACAACTGCGATTTTATGGACGTGCTGAAGCTCCCTGGCATTTCAAATATTCTCGGTCCATTCATCGCCACCCTCTCGGTCTGGGACTTTGCTGGTGGGTGAAATTATAAAACCGTAATAGCACTGCACTCGTGGGTAGTCTTCAGGAAAACTGCAATGTTCTGTACATACGTGATAAAAATGTGAAGTACTGTATTTTGTTCATGTGATGAATTAGCTCAATCATGTTGAAGGTTAGGAAGAAATAAAATATATATGACTGCTAACGGTGTTTTCTTCTAATCACTGAAACCTCCAATAAAATCTTCAATCTTAAAGAACAGCAGCCATAAGGTTTGACCAGAGAAAATAAGGATTTCAGCGTAAAAATCAGATGCACAATCTTACAAATGTTTTCCTATGTCAGATGACAATTCACTTTTCCCTGCATGAACTACTGGATTCTTCACGGAATGAGGGGCCATTCTGAGGTCATCGTTCAAGCCACCGGTGAGAGAGGCTTGTTAATTAACAAGCCACGACATAGCCTCATGTAACCAGAAGTTTGAACACTTCCAGAAAATCATCTCAAATCACTTGAATGCATTTCGGAGCAACAACCTTCAGGACGCTGCCTCGGAGGACGCTGCTGGGGGCAAGAGGCTCTCCTTGGCCCCGGGTCGCTCGTCTCTTTCTTCGTGGGGGCGAGATGGAGATGGCTTAGTGCTGCTCATTCCGGTGCACACACACACACACACACATACACATACACATGCATACACACACATACACATACACATACACACACACACATACACATACATACACACACACACACACGCACGCACGCACGCACGCACACACACACACACGCACGCACACAAAAACACACACACATACACACACACACGCACGCACACACACACACACACACACACACAAACACAAACACGCACACACACACACACACACATACGCACACACGCACGCACGCACGCACGCACACAAACACACACACAAACACACACACGTACACACACACAGTGTGTGTGTGTCACTCACTGTCACTCTCTCATTCATGGCCCACACCACAGTTGGGGCACACATTTTTTTGGTAATCTTAAACGCCAAATTTACTGTGTGGGATGGGGATTGGTAAGGTTGGTATGAATACGTGTGTGTTTGTGTGTGTGCGTATGTATATGATTGTGTGTGTGTGTGATTATGTATGTAGCCAATGTATTTACATATGTGTACATAAATACACAATTTTCTCTCTGCACATGTCTGTCCTCTTTTCGTTTGTATTGAAGCACGTCATCTA